TGAAAGACATTGTGTCACACTGGTATCTAAGCAACGTTAACTGATGCTCAACTAGTTACTATCAGACACTTTTAGAATGCTACCCGGAAAATGAAATGAAGGTCAGAATACTATTCTTAGAAACTACACTTTTTAGCAAGTGCCAACTTATGCCCCGAATCCCCACACTAGTTCAAATGTATGGGCAACAACTGTCCCATGCATACTGGATTCCTTGGTATAGTGACAATATCTACTGATAGGTACATATCACCCATCACAATGGCCAGCACATAAGTCATGTGTGACACATTTTAGGTGCACCCACCTCAGAACTGAAGAGGCAGCTGGGGTCTCTACCCATTTCTAGATCACAACGCTCTACCGATGCTCTCCCACCTCTCTGCATATACAGCTGTCCCCATGCAGACATGCAAGGAAAGTATCCGTTTTTGAGCGACTGACAGCGACAACTATAATAAACACGGAAGTGTTTCTCTTACACCTCAGATGCTCAAACCTCCAAGATATTTTGCAGCCTGTGCATGCACCCGAGGATTCTTGTAAAGTCCTAGCAAGCCTGGTTCCGAGGCGCTGCCCTCGCGAGCCTGGTTCCGAGGCGCTGCCCTAGCAGCAAGGAAAGTATCCGTTTTTGAGCGACTGACAGCGACAACTATAATAAACACGGAAGTGTTTCTCTTACACCTCAGATGCTCAAACCTCCAAGATATTTTGCAGCCTGTGCATGCACCCGAGGATTCTTGTAAAGTCCTAGCAAGCCTGGTTCCGAGGCGCTGCCCTCGCGAGCCTGGTTCCGAGGCGCTGCCCTAGCACGCCAGTGTTGCCAGCCCCCAAGCCGCCAGGCACAGGCCGGGCTGAGAACGGCCCGTGCACGTTCCAACGGAAAGCACCTGGCCTCGGGCCACGGGGGCAGAACTAGGCGACGCGCTCCTCGCTCGGGACGCTGGCAGGGCCCCGCCGCCCCACCCGCGCACTGGCCTGCGGCCGAGCGAGGGGGCGGGGGTCAG